AAAAAGATTTTTTACTTGAAAAAGAGTCAAAATGCAATAATGAAAAGCAAGTATGCTGTGATACATTTTACAATACAAGTTATAAGGTCTGTAAGTACCAGAGACTTGATGAATTTAAAGACAACACTTATTTCTCATCCTGGCCACAGGTGGAAATGTGGTAGGATATATTCCCAGCTGCAGGTGATGATTGTGCACACGCTCCTGAGCACATCCTGTAGCCCTGTTTGCAGTCCCAAAGCAGCAGCTTTGCCTCCTACAACACCTCAAAAAGGGCATGAAATCCTTCCTCCTCTCAGCCTCAGTCCATTGAAAATCTGAGGGTGTGCTGAGATCCTACAGAGAAGATAGAATGGGAGTGTCACATTTATTCACCTGTAGAGTTGTCTCTCACAATGGGACACAAGTGTGATCCTCACCCTGACTTCTGGTGACCCATCCCTGCGAAACTGTAGCAGGCACCCCTTGGAGTGGCAGAGCCAGCGCAGAAAATATATACGTTGATAGCAAAATGGCTCTTCTCCCTGTTCCAGTGTTAAGTGCCCACTGAATGAGTTTGACTCCACAATCTCAAGGACAGCCAGCTCAGGTTGCTTCCTCCAATACTAATACGTAAACAAGTTACTCACTTGTTGTTTTTTTTTCTTTTTTCTGTTAATGTTACTCAAAGACAGCAAAATGCTGTAGACTATTCATTCCGTTTCCAGTTGTGGAAACAGAGCATATGTAATTACCCATGTGGGTAGCAGTCCATCTCATATCCTTACTTATGCCACTGAAGGATATTATCTCATTATATCAGCTTAGCAGCCTTCTTTCCCTGGAATTTGAAATAAGCAAAGCTCATAAAGGAATGATGAAAAAAACTAATTATATAGGACATAATTTTAAAAACCGCACAGTAGTCAAAATCCATTAATGGACTATTTTACATCATTAAACTACTTCCAAGAAAGTATCTAGGCTTTTTCAGCATAAACATTTCTACATTGAAAATGCAACTTGAATCTAACTCTATGGTTAGCTATTTTTTGAATAAGTATAATATGTGCTTTCATTTACAATAGAGCAAAGATTAGTGAAACTTTTAACTTCATTATGTCTATCATCCAAAGTAATTTAGAAGATAGTCCTACTACACAGAGACTCTTCTGCACTAGAATGTTAATAATGACTAGCTTCTGAGGAAACAGAAAATAAACCTGCAAGCAAGGACTTCTTCTAACACGTGTTTTGGGATTTTTATATGAATAGAAAGTACTATTCTAATTCAAAAGTAAAATATTTCTGGACTTTTAGAAAGTTCTTCGGTACATTTTTTAGGCCACAATACAAATAGACTTTGCTTTGGTCTGTAACACATGGTCCTTCAATCCAGCTGAACTTCGAGCTTAAATCCATTCCTTCCTTCCTATTTACTTAGTCCAGAAAGAAAGCTCCTGCAAGGGTGTTATTTGAAACATCTTTATCAGTACTCAGTTGTGAGTGGAACCCTGCTGCCAACCTCACTATGGGATGCAGAGTCCAACTCTGAGGACTATCAATATGGGAAGTGAGGTTGTTACCAGGGGCAACAGAGGGGAGTGGTTCTGGAGGGATTGAATCAAATACAGCCTTCTTTGAAAGGTGCAGTACTGTAGGGTAGCCCAGGACTGCCGATGGGGTCTGACCTAAACTGATCTTGGCCACCAGGATGTTCTTTCTGATCCCAGTGTCTCAGAAGTGAGGAGAGCTGTTGTTAAGTCCTGTGGGACAGGTCTCATGGTTTGAGAAGAGCGTTCCTGCCATGCATGTGTCTCACTGTACAAGGAAGGTCTGAGACCCTACTTACAGCAGGAAACTCTTTCAAAGATGGCACCCAGGAACAGGACTTACTTAAGCCAGCACCTGAACTGAGCTCTTTCCTGGCAAGAGGAATGCACCTGTTACATCAGTGCTCTGTGCCATATATGTGTCAGTAGCTGGTTAACAAAACTCAGGCCTGGAAGCAATGCTTCATTACTGTATTTGGTGGCAGGACTAACAAAGTTCATTGTTGGGTTTCACTACAGATGGCTTCCTTTATGCTGCAGATTTTTAGACCAGTTCTTAACTAGACCTAACAGTTGTATTAGGCAGACTGAAGGCATGATCTTCCCAGGAGACTCTTGTTCCCATGAAGTGAAAAGGAAACTTCTGAAACATTCCTAGAATTGCCCTTGGGCTTCTGAAATGACTATCTCTCTCTAGCAAGCCTCCTGTAACTTCTGTTCCAGAAAGAAAATAAAAAAAAATCAAGTCAGGCTGAGTTGTAGTTTATTTAAGACTCAAGTGTAACGTTAATTTTAAGGTTGATGTGAGAAATATATCCAGCTGCCTTTTACAACAAGCAGTTTGGTCAGCCTGGCCTTAGCAGACCTCACCTCACTGGCACATCACAGCTTTCCCTCTGAGCTCCTAAGCCCCAGTGGCACAGCAGATTGACTTTTTGCTCTCAAAAAACATGGGGCAAGTAGGCTGTTCCCATAAGGAGGGAGAGGAGCTCAGCTCATAGACCACAGGCTCAAGTGTATGATGAAGATAGTGAAGAGGAATTCACAACAGGCAGTTTCTGAGTGAGTATCTTCTGTATATGCGGAATCAGGAGCTGGACTTGGAGATCCTTATGGGTCCCTTCCAATTTGGGATGTTCTGTGATTCCATGAATTGGTGGGAGCACAATTTGGAACTGTTTGTGCTACTCAAAGGGAACACCTGGAGCAGATGCAAAGGATCCCAAGCTCCTCTTGTCCCAGACTGATTGCAGATGGATACTTCCTGGAAGAGGGAGAAGAACCCTGCTCAGATGCTGTGTTACCTCTGTGAGTGGGTGCTGGAGAGGAGCTGCAACAGCATGGGAAGAAGCAAATCCTTTCCTCTAGATCTGGATGAACACTTAGAGACTAAGGCCCAATATTCATGTAATGACAATGGTCTCCTGTAAGGACGAAAGAGCAAAACCCCATTCTGTTTATTTCTTTCCTTTGTCTCGGCCCGTTGTCTCTTTGGGATATTTCATCAACAGAAGTCGACAGGCTTGTGAGTGGAGGCCCTCCGGCCCCGGCCAGGACTGCGCTTCCCGCGGTGGCCATCGGGGGCTGCTGCGGGTCGATTCCGTCCGGCGGCCCACGGGCTCCGGTGCGTCCCTGTGCTCCCTGGCACGGCTGGGAACGTCCTAGCGGAGGTGGAGCCCCAGCAATGGGGATGCAGTTAGATAGATAGATAGATAGATAGATAGATAGATAGATAGATAGATAGATAGATAGATTTTAAAAGCCAAGCCAAGGGCATAGCGAGCCAGCTGGCACCTTCCTTCCGAATTAAAGCATCCAGGAGACCTCAGAGCAAGGCATAGACTGGAGATCAGGGTAAGATTTGGAGAGCAATTTTTCGACTTCTCGGAGCCAGTGAGAGCCAGGAATCGTCTGGTGGATGCGCCCGAAGGCACTGTGCCTGCGCAGGGAGGGCCAGAGATGCGCAGGGTGGCCCTGCCCGGTACCTTGCGTCCATGGGGACGAGCCGAGGCTGCTCACAACACTCCTGTAACTTGCCCTCAAGTTTTGCTGTGAAAACAAAAGAAAAGCAAACAATTCCCTTCCCCCAGCCCGAAAACAAAGCTCGGGCACCACCCGGGCTGGTCGAAAGGACTCCATTGTCGTTTTTAAATGAGATATCTTTGCAACGGCTCTCCCCTCCCCGAGCCAGCGGGGAGCCGCCCGTATCCCTGGAAGCGAGAGGTAGCGGGGAACAAAAGGCAGACTCCGAAGTGACACTGGAAATAAAAGGGAGCTTTGGTTACCCCCAGGGAAAGGTCGAGGGGGAAAGGTCGCCTTCCCGCCAGCGCACGTACTCCCGGCGGGAGCGGGGCGGTGGCCCCGGTCCAGAAGCAGCCTTCCGAGTGCGGGTGAGCGCGGAGCCGCCCCCCGGAGTGGCAGCACAGGTCCAAGGGCAGGGTTCAAATCAAACTCGAGGGCAGAGGGGGGCCGCGCCACATCTCCACTCCCCGACAGCCGGGGAGCTCCTTCTGCCGTGGGGCTTCGATTCCTCCCGCGGAGTTCTGTTCCCTCCCGAACCCGGGTATGGAGGCCACACGGCACCCACCGGCGCCGGGCCGAGAGCCGCCGTCGTCTCAGAGAGGGCAGGGTGCGGGCTGGCAGGTGGCCCACCTGCAGGTCGGTTTCCTCTTGGCAGTATGTGCAGGCGACAGAGCTGGGGATCAGAAATGTGAGCGCAAATATGTGCTCATGCACAGCCGCTCTCGAAGGTATGCACCTCACCGTGTATGTGTGCATATCTGGGTATACAGACACAAACACGTAACTCCTGCATTATCTGAGGTAATATACTGATAGCTGTATCTAAAAACCGATAAATAGTTCAATCCTGGCAAGATTCTGTTTGTAGGTATGTGCTGATACTAAGTATTGTCGTATGTATTTACATCTGTGTGAACCATGCTTATATTTTTAACTACAAAACAAAACTTTCTGCAGATTGTCTCAGCCACCTCTGGTGCAGCCACATTCTGACACGGCACCAAATTTGCTTTGTGTCCTCAATGAGTCCTGCACACCTGTACTGACAGCACTGTGGCAATCTACAGACGTGGTGGGAATCGCATGCTTTGTGGCAATGAGGCCACTGCACTAATTGCTGATTATAACGGTGCCGGGGCAGGTGCCAAAACACATCCCAGCACGATGCTGCCGGCGGCCCTCCGTGCCCGCAGCCACCACCCGGGGCAGCGCAGAGGCGCCGGGCCTAGGCGTGCCACTGGGTCCGGGCACGGGGTCCCCGCCCGCCCCAGCGGCCTCGGAGCCCGGCCCTGGTACCTCACTGCTGGCCCCTCCCTGTCCCTCTCGGCCGGGAACGGCCCGGCAGAGGAAAAGCCGGGGGTCGGAGCATCGGGTCAGAAGAGTTCGGGAGCCAGCCGAGAAGTGGTTCAGGAGGGGAAAGCCTCGCGAGTGGGTCCTGCATGCGAGATGCTCCATGCCCTGAGCAGCTGGAGGAGCAACTGGGCGTGCGCTGCAGAGGGGTGAGAATTTCCCTTTGGGGCTTTGCTTAGTTTGCTTGCTTAGATCCCCAGGAGAAGAGTTTGTGACCAGCCCACTGAGGCATTCCTCAGCTTCACAGAATGACTGGGGAAGGGTGGCTATTCGCCGAAGGGAAGTTGTCTCGCTGAGCCCCACCAACACGAGCGCTCGGCAGGACCGTGCTTCAGGCTCAGGGATGTGCCCGCGGTCACAGCCACACGGGGCCGCCCCGCGCGGCCGCTGCGGGAATGGCCCCTACGCTCCCTTCCCGGGCTCCGGGCGTGGTGTGCCGGGCACACTCTGGAGGGGTGCGCCGACACGCATACGGCACCAGAGCTGAAGTCCTTCTGAGGGTCGGCCAAGAGGGAAGTACCGCAGCCAGCTCTCCCAGCGCCGCGGGTCATCTTTCCCCTTTGCAGGCTCGGGGCTTTGGGAAGGGAATTTGAATCTTTGCGCGCATGTTATGCTTCTGCTAATAACCAGCGCAGAAAGAAGTTTACCCCAACTCTCACCTCACCCGTTCTAAGCCGGACTACCTGGCTGAGAGAGGGTTCGTTTCTTTCTGTTACAAAGTTGCATTTGAGGAGTGCAGCACGCATCGCTCGGCCCCTGCCCCTCTCCCCCGGAGACTGCAGCCAACCTGGCTCGAGGCCGGGCTCAGGATGGACGGCCCCCTGCTCTGCGGGAGTCACGGGCTCCGGAGGGGCTTAGAGGGGAGTGGAAAGAGTTCGGGACAAGGGCCCCGGGTGGGAGCCGAGCAGCCTTCTGTGCCCACTGCAGTGGGTGGCGGATCCTCCAGCAGCCCCTCGCGGCGCTGCCTGGCCGAGCACATTGGGTTCCTTTCGGGGAAGCACAGCGGCTCTCATAAAAAAGACATTGTTGGCTTTGGAGAGCCCTGAGCGCTCTTTCAAAAGGCGCTCCTTGAGTTCCCAGCCCCCGCAATCCAGTTGATGAGGAAACGCGCTGCGGTGTTGGTGGCACCATTTCCATTGGGATTGGCACCGTTTGATTGACAAAGTCTCACATTCTTCCACCTCTCGAGTGTTATCAAACGGATTGTGTGGGGTCAGAAGCTGTTGAAGGGACGTCCGTGTAGCCGCGTTCTGCAAACACGGGGTGAAGACCATGCCTTTCTCATGAAAATGCTTCCTCCAGGCAAAATGCGGCTCATCTTCCCTGCTCTCCTCCTTAGCATTTCCTCTTAACTCGAGCGTGTCCCTAAACGGCAGCATCAGGTAAACGAACGTAGCTCCAGAGGCAGCCCAAGCAGGGCCCTGCCGGGCTCTGCTCCCCCGCCCCCCCGGGAATGAGCGCGGACATAGCTCCGACAGTGGGGGCCGAGAGGAGAGGGGTGGGCTTCGAAAAGGCGGCAGAGAGAAGCAGCCGCGGCTCGACTGGCCATGCAGAGCTAATTGGGGCGGTAAGGTGGATCAGGGGCTGCCCTGCTCCATCTCACTGGATCGATCCGGAAGGGCTCAAAAGTGCAGGTGGGATCTTGCGGGGTGCAGATCCTCAGTATTCACAGACAGCGCTCAGCCCTCTAGGAGATCTCCACCCCGCTGCTTTCGCTCTAATTCCCCTCTGCCAGCCCCCGTGCAGGGTCAGGGCCGGATTCGTTCGGCTCTATCTCACCAAGCAGCGTTTCGAGGGCTGCCAGAGCACACCCCATCGAAGTGGCGGTGCCCGGGACAGTGCACTATGGGCAGTCCCCAGCCTGGCCCCGGCTCCGCACCACCGTCCTTCCTCCCGGGACTGTTGTGACAGTGGATCCTTCGGTATTATTTGTTCCTCTATCCACACCCTCCTGTTCTTTAAGGCCTATAAAGCAGGCACGGAGGTAATGGTCGAGGAATCCAAGGGAAACAGAAGCAAACAAACAAGCAAAACCCCACAAGGTGAGGTCTAATATCTCTCTCTTTAAGAGCAAACTCGAAGATCTTACTGAAAATCGCGCGCAGAAAGGGGGGGGGGAGAGGGGGGGGGAGGGAAATGTGGGGGTGGGGGTGAGGAGGATGAGGGGAAGTACAGGAGTGGGAGGTAGGGGGAAATTAATGTCCCAGGGATCTGGAAGGAAGTGATCCAAAGGTCCGGAAAGGAAAGAGGCCGAATTCAGAGCAGCCATCCCCCAGCCTGAAACGGCCCTTTTGCCTGCGGGACACGGCAGACCCCCAGAAGCCCATCTTGGGGCTGGGGGGAGCCAAGCGGGGCCAGAAGGGCGGAGGGCCTGATGGAAGGAGAGTCCCCCGGTGTATGTGTGTGGAAAAGCTCACCTCTCGCGGAGCTCTAAAGTGTAATCAAGGCTGAGCCTTACCCTTCAAGGATGTTAACTCTCATACGGGAACCTACTTTCTCCTAAACGGTTTCTTGCCTACTGAATGAGAGCCTCCCAATTGAGGCAAAATGATCCTTATGCGCTAATATAGAGCGCAGTCACAAAGCGACCGGCTATTTACGCTGCCACTTTAGACAAAGATATTTAGTTGTTCCCGGGTAGCAAGTGCACTTTTGCATTTTTAAGCACGAACCAGCCGAGCACCAATATATTTACAAGTGCAATTACTAAATAGTTACTTGACACTTCAAAGTCACTGGGTTAACTGTACCTTCTCCGTAATTTCCTTAATATTCAGGTAATCGCTTTATTAAACGAGTTTCCCAGGGCTATGGGCCGGGGTGCAAATTGCCTAGCGGAGGTTCCTCCCTTCCTCCCGGACCGCCCCGCGGTACGCGCGTGGGGACCCGGAGCTGTGACGGGCTGCTCGCCGCGTGTGTGTGCGCGGAGCTGGGAGTGGGTTCTCCTTTGTTCTTAAGCCGGATCCCATAACTGATCCGAAAATGGCAGAAATTGATGTTGATTCTAAGTGGCAGGTGTTCGTTAGCAAGGTTGGTGAGGCAGATGACCCGAGAGGTCTTCTCCATGCAGCTCCCGCGCTGTGTAAATAACCTTAGAGAGCAGCTTCGGGTTCAGAGGGACTTCGGGAGCCTGGAGCAGCCTTTGCCTTTGGGAATAGGGAGAGACGTCTTGCTCTAAGCTGTTTCAGTAGCGTGTCGCTCGGAGCAATTTAACTGCTGCTCGTTTTTATAAACTTGCATCTTCCACCTCTCTCTGAGGTTAAAAAAACAAACAAAAAAAAAAAAGACAAGAAAGCCTTAGGTAAATGGAACTTGTAGGTTCAGGGAGAGATAGGATCCTCGCACAAGGGGTGTCACTCCGAGGGTCTTAGAGGGTACAGAAAGGTTCCTGGGATACCAGGTGCCAGGGGTGCCCGGGCAGCGGGAGGTGTGCGGATCGCTGGCTGCGGAACCCCTCCCGGCAGATCTGGGGGGTAGAGGAGGGTTGCTCCATGTGCCCAGTGGCAGCAGTCCCGTGCCCGCAGCTCTCCCGAAGGCCACCTGCCAGTCTGCCAGCCCACCCGCGTCTGATCTGAAATCCCTCCACATGGGCAAACGGGGTCTTTTGGCATTGCTCTCCACTACCCGTCCACAACACTGTAACCCCCAAGAAAAATAAAATGAGTTCTGCTCACGGGGTCTCTCTCTATTTCCATCTCCCTGCCGCTCTCTCTCTCTCTCTCTCTCTCTCTTTTTTTTAAGACATAAAAAAAATCCTGACAAGTAAAACTTAAAGGTGTTTACCTTGTCATCAGCATGTAAGCTAATTATCTTGGGCAAGATGTAGGCTTCTATTGTCTTGTTGCTTTAGTGCCTATGCCCCGCCTCTGGTGGCAGCCTAAAACCTGGCGTCTGGCTAAAACAAACGAAAGGCAGCCCTGAGCCTCCACTCAATCCAATTAAGGCGGACTTCGTCCACTCGGTTACGTGTACATCCAACAAGATCGGCGTTAAGGCAACACCAGAATATTTGGCAAAAAAAAAAAAAAAAAAAA